CCAAACTTATTCACAGATGAATTAATTTAATACCAAACCCAACATCTTCAGCTTAATACCAAAAAAAAAAAAAAAAATGCCAGAGCAGTCTCATCTGTTTCTTATTTATTATAACCAAGAACCAATCAAATTGTAACATACCGCCCAACTTTAACTTAGCCCTTAACAGACATAGTCACCCAAGTTCTTAGGTCTTTTGGTGGCATGTTTTGGTTGGTCAGTGTCCACAATTTCTAAATCAGATGACATTAAATTTGCATTTAGTACAGGTGTATATTAGTCTCTTCAATCGACAGAACATTTAAAAAAAAAATCTGTCATGCAGAGTGGCATGAGTGAAGATGTCTACTGGCTTATTAACCTTGGTTTCTGTCGACATATTCATGCAAATATGATCCATATGTCTTTTCCTCTAGACAAACTCAAAATATTAATAAGCTTAACTGTTCTTCAAGAACCCCAGACATCCATTTGGGCTTTCCTTGAAAATTAGCTTAACTGCATCTCAAACATAAAACATTCTTTCACAGCACTTTATATTTGCAGATGTTTCAGCATTAGCCACTTGTGTAGTAACTTGAGCTGATAAATCAAGTGACACTAGATCAAAGCAAGACCCAGGCTGTCAATCCATTAACAACAATGTTGGTGACTGCCCTGTTATTGAATGTGGAGTCAAGCAATTACTGTGCTAAACTACAGTTTCAAGATTATCTGAAATTTTTTTTAGTCCATTCTTAATGTTCATTTAATGATGGAGGAGGCATCAAACATTGAACATCTTCAATTCCATTCAAGGTACAGAATTTGGAGAATTCTTCACTAGTGAAACTGCTAGCATTTATCAGACACAATCACATGTGGAATTTCATGTGGAATAAATGCGACACAACATTTGTTCTGTCATTGGCAAAGATGGAGATTACACCACAAGCTTCTATGTATTTACTGAGGGTATCCTCAATTACCAGGATCCATTTGACATCTATTGTAACCATAGTCCATGTGTAACCAAAATCATGACTGTCCTGGCCATTCCCACAAGTGTAACATACTAACTAGGGGCATTTTTAAAACATCTTGGCATGCAACACAACTCCCCACATGCAGTTCAATATCTGAATCAAGACCACCCAGATATAACTATGTGCAAGGGACTTAATTCAGGGAAATACCCACATAACTTTTAGGCAATTTTTTTACAAAACGTGTTGTGACACTTTGCAGGGATGACTCTTTGTGGTATTTGTATATTTTTGATAAGTTTTTTTTTTAACAATGCAAAGGCGCTAAGACAAAACTGATAGTGTTCAAATATCAGCAATAGTAATTAACAAGAGCTAAATAGCTACGTATTTCGAACACATTCATTGGAACAGGTACTGCACAGATTGCATTAACCTTGTTTTGGGTTGGATGGATTCCTTCTGAATTAGTTTTATGACCAATGTATGTAAATGAGGATTTTTGGAATTCACTTATTGTTTTATAAGGCAGAGTCCTGCATCTTTTAATTCCTTCAGCACTAAACACAGATTATTGTAATGTTCCTTCAAATTAACAACCGGGACAATATAGATAGCTGTGTTAGGTATTCCTTCAATCAATTATTCTATGATAATGTTGGAATAATCCAGTTGAGGAGGTAATTCCAAAATATGACTGAGAGCATCTGGATAATTTATTGTTGTTAGTTTTTGTGACTCTTCATCAAGAGGAATTTGTAAGCATCATTCAAATCCAGTCTCATAAAGTAACATTCACCAGAGACTTTGGAATACAAGTCATTAATGTTTGGTATGGAAGATTTATCTATCTGCAAGATAGCTTTATAATAAGTAATAACTTAACAAATTACTTTGTAAGCTGCATCACCTTCTACAACTCAAGAGATCCCAGTCTGAAAAGTGGAATAATAAAAAATAAAATAAATTAAAAAAATATACTGTGAGGAGCAACCAAAAGAAAGTAAGAGATTTTTCAACAAATCACAAAGATAAAATTCATTACATTGGTTAGAATTTTAGTCTTTTTCCCTGTGAATGAAAAACTTTTGAACTTGATGATTTAAACAAGAAACTTTTCATTATATTTAAAGCTTACATACAATTGAAAGCTATAATGAAAGAGTCATGAAATTCAAATATAGAATAAATACCTTTCATGCTATGACATGCTTATCTACCATATATATACAGGCTAAGAGCTATAGCAACAACTGATAAAGATCTCCCCATTGAAAAATGATACATTTTAGATAAGTATTCAAGTCATATATGTTGAATGTGTATAAATTTTGATTAACAACATTTTCATTCTTTGAAATATTCTAATATCTTTATTTTGAAGAACATTAAACAATCCACTGAATGATAACGATTTATCAAAAATTCAATTTCTTCATTGTGTCAGTGGTAATATACACAATTCGAAAAAATTGATAAAAAGGTCAAAGTTTCTGAACAAAAGCACATCTGAATGAGCTCATTTATAAATTTGTACGATACAGACATCAAATAAAATTTTCTAATCCAAACAATTTGTATCTTGCAATTTGAATAACAATTGGCAAATGCTTAAATGAAAATGAAATAACGTATCTAATGAAAATATTCTAAGGGTTCATCAGCAATCCATTGAAGCAATGACAAATGATACACAAGTCAAAGTGTATGAAGACGAACTTGAATAAAATACACTCGAGTAGAGTGCTTTTATTTTTCTTGTTTTTTTAAATATCGTGGACAGTTGCACTGACAGTTCAGTTCAGGCTGACATGGAATCATCCAGAAGTGTCACAGGTCATCCAAAGATTTGTTCAAAGCAACTTATTAATTTTCCTGTCACTGGAAGCAGAAATAAAATAAGTTAAACTAAACACGCATAAGCTGGCATTTAACAGATCGGCTCAAGCTGCAGCAGATAGATGATTAACTTAAACTTTTACTAAGAATAGTGCAGTAATCCAAATATAACATTTTAAAAGTTTTTACACGCTTCTCACTGGAATTTTCCATATTTTTAGAAATTCAGGCAAATAAAGAAAAATCTTGGATGCAATAGGAAATTATTAATGTTTTTAGTGTTCTTTGAATCTTTCAGCAAAAGAAAAAAATGATACATTATTTTATGGAAATATTTCTTAAATATTCTAATTTGAAGAATTCTAGAAATAAAGTGAACTTTTTATTTTTTTACAGAATTTCTGTTCATCAATGAAGAAACATTTTGAACTGATTCTTACAATCATTTTTTGAAAACTTAATTTCAATGATTTTAAAAAGTCGCAATTGTAGATATATATTTTTAAAATACGTTAACCATCGAACTTATACTTAAATTAAAATATAGATTTTAAAATACACGTAAAATTAAAAATAACAAATGTTTTTTTATTGTATGAATGATGAATCACTGAATGAGTAACAACAGAAAAAACAGGACAACTAGCTCAACCTAAACACTGAAGTTTTAAGTTTTATGTATAATTTTGTTTGATAACATTGAATAATCTAACCTTACTTAGGTTAGAATACAAATGACAAAATAGAAATGAATTTTTAGCAGAAAGAAAGTATATAGATCAATAAATAAATCAATGAGATTCTTAAAATTACTTGAAAGAAAAAATATTATTCAACAAAAATGAATAGCTTAAAATGAGTCAACCTTGTTTTGTTATTCATTTTCATAATTGAATAAGGTTAATAATTAGAATATAATTAAAATTTAAACACACTGTCTTCAATGAAATCGTTTCTTTTTTAAGGAATGCATTTTTACATGACATTGAAAGTCATTTAATCAGCGTAAAAATCACATCTACTACAATTAAAAATTACTAAATTTTAAAAAATGAAAACATTTAAAATTTAGTAACAGTAACATTAATTTACTTACTAATTAACAACCTTCTCAGAGATTGTTAAGCTTTTTAAATGGTGAAAGAAAGAGGAAAAAAACGTAACAACAAATTAGAAAATGAAAGAGAAAATTGCTCAGATCACCTGGACCAGATGGAATGTTTAATTTTTTAGTTTGTCTGAAATGTATTTAAAAATGAAACAATCAAAAAATGAATAAAAATCCCTTGTTGACAGTGACAGTGCTTAAAAATACCAAATTAATTTTACAATAGACATGAAAAAAAGGGTTTTTTATTCTTGTTGTTGATCTAAGATTTTTCATTCATTAAACATTCATGATTAGTGTTGACTTGAATTTTTTACTGATGTCAACAACTGAAAATAAACACAAAAATAACTAAACACTTCAAAGCAGACAATAATGTGTATTATTATTATCTTATAATTATCAAGTCAAGTGCTTCTTGACAACATTACCTTGTCTTTTGGTTCTTCGTTTTCGGTAGGAATTCTCTGCCGTACTTCTGTCATGTCTTTTTTTTTTTACCTATGTACGTTTTTCTCAAATAAAATCTTTTTCTTCTGATTATTTTGGATCTTTGCCGCCTGTTTTACGCCTCTTCGACAATTATAACAACTGTTTTACGATAATAAATAATAAATTGTTGTTAATTTTGCTCTTCGCCCACAAGTCCAAGGGTCGATTTTAAGTCCACAAAAAAATGAAAAAAAATCCTCACGCGGTTTTATTTATTTTTTTTAAGAGATGTAAAACTGTTTTTTGAGTTGTTATTTCCAAAATAAATAACACTATCACACGAACATATACAGACCGCCAAGAAGAAAAAAGAAAAGTCTCTTATTTTTTTTCTTTTTCCTAACCAACTGATTATTATATTTTTCTTTAAAATTCAAAGGTTGTTTATATTTTAAAAAAATAAATAAACCAATGGCTTTTTTTGGTCTGTCGACTTGAACTTCGTGTTTCACACTTGTCGTAATTCACAATTGTCACGTTGATGCGTAATTAACTCCAATAACTTAAACCAAGTTCGATATCTTTCCGTATCGATATAAATAAAAGATCTATATCAGTTTCAATATATAAACAGTTAAGTCGGAATTATAGTTTACAGTAACGAGAGAGAAGCAGAAATGTTTTTCGATTTACAAGACTAAAAGAGAGAGTTGGAGGAAATTTGCAAGTAGAGGAAAGAGCAATGTTAGATAGAGAGAAAAACGAGAGTTTTGCTGTGATATAAACGGAGGGAAAAAAGAAGAAGAAAGAGGAAGACAAAGAGTTGAGGAGAAAATGACTAAGTGAAATTACAGAGAGTAGGAGGAAAGTCTCGTTAAGTCTCGTGAAATCTCGCTGCTCTCGAAAGTGTTGATTATTGTTGTGAATTGAAATATGTGTTCATGTGCGTAGGTGAATACCTTTGCATTTGTGTGCGTCAGTCGGAGTACATTGACAAAATTATGTGCAATTTATAGAACTATTTGGATGTAGGTAAATGTGAGCAGAATCATGTGCGTGATATGGAACTACTTCACATAATGACAGAAACCCACACCCCCCAAAAAAGGTTCAAGAATTGTCACTAAACAGAGACGCCAAGATACACATTTTTAGTTTTAATTTAAATCATAAATTAAATTAAAATGAACCAATTAAAAAATGTTCAAAAAATTTTACACCAATGAAAGGATCTGAATCAATTTCAAAATGTTAGTCTCTGGAAAACTATAGCAGACAAGCTTTTATACTGCATCTTCAGTTAACTATTCTTGCATGTTCAACATGAAGTGATGTTCGTTTCTGTGAAAACATTTAATTTTTTAAGCAACAAAGCTTAAAAAATTAAATGTTTTCACAGAAACGAACATCACTTCATGTTGAACATGCAAGAATAGTTAATAATCTCTATGATAAATTAAAAGCTGTAAGTACAATCTTACCTACTTCAGTTAAGAAAGGACAATTGTTTCTCAAAAAAAAGAAACACGGTATGCATTGGAAATAAAAAAGGACAATTTATCATCTTTTTTACAAATACAAATCATTCTTCATAGACTTTTATTTTTGCTTGATCTATAGAACATATTGACATGTTTAGTTTACTCAGGTTCATTTATTAAATATTTCAATTCACTAGATGTTCCATTGTAAAAAAAAATAAGTATATAAGAAACGAATTAATTCTTTTCTGCATTTAAGAAATTAAGATTTTTTCAAATTTATCACTGAAGAAGTTGATATGCCTCAAACAAAAGCATTTCCTACTTTCAAGTTGGAAATGGAAGACAAATGGAATTTAACTATGTTACTCGTGATTATAAATCCTGGTAGTTACAGTTTTTGTTAAACATCTGCACAGTGAAAGCATCATGAGTCAGAGATTCTTTCAAAAAACGTACTTCCAAAACTGATATAATAATAGAGTTTGTGACTAAAACTGTACAGCTTTACTTCCTGCATCATCATAAATACCTTATGATGGGTATGATTATCATGATGATGATGCATATGCCTATATTTGTGTATGCACAGTTTAAAAGTTTTCAATGCAAATATTGGTATTTCATTAAAAATAATGATGTTTGGTCTTTGTAGTAGGCTTATTTTATGTGCTGTGCCATGTGCTGTCAGATTTGATTATGTTAGGTTTTCATAATTAAATTGGTATTATCCAACTAATATTACAGTACATATTTATATAATAAATATACAATGTGAATTTCATTTTTAAAATCTGATTTTATTAGAAACTAGCAGAAATACCCATCGTTGACTGAGTTTGGAAGAAGCTGCCAAAATTGTAGTTATACAGTTATATCCATACAGGTAACGAAATAGAAAGGACTGCCAGTTTTCATGTAGAACAAAGAGGTTATTTCTCCAGGCCAATATTATCATGGTTGCATCTGGTCTGTGGTCTCTATATTTTGATCTATAAACAAAGCAATCATCGCATATATAACTAAATAAAAGATTAAGGAAAACTATAGACATATGAATATTACAATATTCATTTAAGTATTACAATAAACATCAATAATAAAAAGTATACCATTATAGTAATGTTTATTTTCAGTTTAATTATATCCAGCTGCCTGGTTGCTGCATTCTGTTGAGTATTTATTCTGTGTCTCCTCTCCTTTACTTCTGGAGTTTCAGATTGTCTTGCAGCTGCAGTCCATTGAGCATTCAATGTATGTCTTCTGTCAGCTTCTTGACTGTCTTGCTACTGCAGTCTTCATCTTAGATTCGCTTGTTCTTGACTTTGGGATGCTTGCCTTTTTGTGCTCAACTAATCTTCAGTTTCTTCTGCTCTTTCTCTTTTCCTCTGCTGGGATTGCTTCCTTTCTTTCTATGTGCTGTGTCCTTTCGGGACATAGGCAATCATGGCTCTCCACCTCCCTCTATCACTTGCAGTTCTCAGGTTCCTTCTCTCTGCCACCTCCCCCAGACCATGTTCTGTCATCCACTTGCTTAAGTCCACTAGGTATGTTATAAGTTTTTTCCCTTTCTTTTTCCCTTTATTCAACCCATGAGTATCAGATTCCTCCTTTCTCATGTGTCCCAGGAATTTCAGCTGCCTCTTCCTGATGTTAAGTATAAGCCTCCTCCTTGTTTGCATCCTCTCTAAGACCTCATCGTTGCTCACATACTCGGTCCATGATATGCTTAGCATCTTTTGGTAGGACCACATCTCCGTTACCTCAAGTCTCTTCTTCATCTTTGAGGAAATCGTCCAACATTTGCTGCCATAAAGTAGGACAGATGTCACATAACAGCTCAGTATTCTTTTCTTCATTACCAAAGAAATCCTCCTGTCTCGCAATACTCTGCCCAGCTTTTGGAATGCATCCTTGGCCACCCCAATATGTCTACGGATCTCAGTATCACATTTACCGTCCTCTGTCAGAACGCTTCCCAAATATTTAAACTGCCAAGTCTGCTTGATTCTAGTGTTACTGACTTGCAAATAGCATTTCAGGCTCATCCTTTTACTGATGACCATGATTCTGTTTTCTTGTAATTTATGCTTAGTCTCTTCTCCACACTCTCTATTGCTACGTTCTGTCGGAGATTTTGTAATTTCTTTTACATGTCTGATATCAGTACTGTGTCATCTGTGTATCTTATGTTGTTAAGATTTGGGCCATCAATGCTAAATCCTGGTAGGGTTTCCAATTCTCTCAGAATTGCCTCGCTGTATAGGTTGAACAGGTCAGGTGAGAAGATGCATCCTTGTCTTACACCCCTTTCTATTTTTGTATATTCACTAAACTCATTCTCTATGTGCATGCATGCTGTTTGCTGCCAGTATAGGTTCTTGATTATTCTGATATCTTTCCCGAATATATCAAGGTTGCTGAGCAGTTCCAGCAGGTCCTTGTGGCGTACTTTGAAGGCCTTTGTATCGTCTAGAAAACATAGATACACATATACATTTAGATAGTCCAAAACAGAAATTTTGGGGAGGCATTGTAGTAAGGGTGTAGACTAAATATTATTTGCAATAGTCAGCTGGCAGAACAGACATCTGAAAGATATAAAGCTGTTTAGGTTTGGTCATTATAGGATAAATGACTTTATCAAGAATTCAAATAAATTGTAAAGTTGTATATTAACGAAATTCTAGATATTGTATAGGTTCAAGTGATGCCTCCTTTGTCCAAAAGAGACAAAATTTATGGAAAAACTACATTAGGATCCATATTAATTGGATTATTATATAAGATTGAAACAGTAGCTATTGTTTAGGTTACAGGAAACTAAATTTGCAGTCTCAATCAAATATTTGGATGCAAAAATAATGAAATGAATGTAAAAAGATGGCATGGTTTAAATTTTGTTTATATCCATGGAAACGATTTTTTGAGGCAAGGATTTGTCTACCCCTGGACCCCACCCTTTTTTAAATGTTAGATATATATAGTCTATGTCATTAGGTGTCATACATAGAATCTCTTTCAAATTTCATAACACTCTATTCAATGTTTGTGTTGTTTAGATTTTTAGGGGGCTAAGCCCTTCACTCCACCCCTTAGGGCTCTATATAAGTACTTTGGGAGTTGGCTTCAAAATATATCAAGGTGACTAAACATATAGCGATTCAAATAGTCAAGTTATGGGCTTCCAAAATTTTCAATATAGTGGGGTTTAGCCCCCATTAGTGTATCTTGATATTATTGAAATTGGCTGATATTTCTTGGAATAGGTGTTATTTCAGGTCATTTACCTAAGTTTAAATTTCTTTTAAATCAAAAGGAAAAAAAATTTGAGGGTGTTTGTGCTCACCCCCACCCCCGAAGACCTCCTTTGATCAAAACAATATATACTTATACATAGCATATTACATCCACTCTCATGCAGAAAATCTGTGTTCCAAATTTCATAAAAATCTGTCCAGTAGTTTTGAATCCATGGGTACATTTATTTTTGGGTGGGGTGGAGTGTTGTGGGTTCTGCCCCCTTTTCTCCCCACAAAAATAAATCAAACATAGCTCATTACACTCCCTTTTATGTTTACTTTGTTCCAAATTTAATGAAGATCAGTGAAGTAGTTTTTCTTCCAAGAGATGTACTGACACAGACATACACAGACATTCATCTTTATATATATATATAGCTATTTACAATTTGATGGTATGTGATCAATGCAATTTAAGATTTGTTCATCGTATTGCAAATAAATATATTTAGTTAGTGATATTTAGAAAATGTGGCTATATAGCTTTTTCCTTTCACCAGTACATGTTGAAAGAAATGTCATTGATTTCAAACAAATCATCTACATCAACGACAGAATGGTTAATGAATGGCTAAAAGTCTTTTCTCAACCACAGCTTTAACTGCGAACCAACTACTAAAAGTATTTTCTAAAGCACATTCTATCCAAAAACTAACTCAACTACTTTTACTCATTTTTGACTCTTTAATTCATGTACATGTGTTTGTAAATACAAATGATTTATTTAGTCAGCACACCCATATTTTCTTTATTTTATTGTTCATCTAGAATTCATACATTCAAATTTTTAATATAAAAAATATTGGATGACAAAATTTCTTACAGATACAGTAAAATTATTTAGAGATAAAAACACAATGCTGGAAATTGAAAAAGTTGTACAGAGATCATAAAAGGAACAAAAAGAAATTGAAAACATTGACAAGAACAAGCAAAAATTAAACTGGTTTTAAGAATGTTATAAAAAAGATTTGAGAATAAATAAAAGTGATGATAAACAAGATTGACCAACATAAATAATTCAAGGAGTTGATGTTGTAAATATAAACAAAAAGAAAAAATGCTGAATATTAAGAATATTAGCTAAAGACATGAAAGTAAACAAACTATTGGCTT